GTGAATTATGTCTTGCCAGCTGTTTACAGCCAAGGTACCCTGCCTTCGAATATGGAAGCCAAAGGATCTTAGGAGGTTGCTGTCTCCTGCTCACTGCCTAGGTATAGTTGAAAGGTGATGCATGACCATTTGATTGAGATCAAACCAGTCAATCGTAAAGGAAATCAGTCCTTAATATTCATTGGAGGACTGATGCTGAAGCCAAAACTTCAATACTTTGGCCACCTAATTTGAAGAACTGACTCATTGGAGAAGACCCTGATGCTAGGAAAGATTGAAGGCAGGAGGAGAAGGGGGCGACAGAGGATGAGATGGTTGGAGAGTATCACCGACTCAATGGACATNCTTAAGTTAGACAGATCTCCAGCTTATGGGGGTTTCCCTGGTGGCGCCAATGGTAAAGAATCTGCCTGCAATGCAGGAGACCCGGGTTCCACCCCTGGGTCCGGAAGATCTCCTGGAGAAGGAAATGGCAACTCACTCCAGTATTCTTGCCTGGAGAATCCCATGGGCAGAGGAGCCTGGTGGGCTACAGTCCATGGGGCCGCAAAGAATTGGACATGACTGAGCAACTAAACCTTCCAAGGTATAGGAAGAGAAGAGAAAACACAAGGTTGTTTAAGAGACTATAGTAAGTTACCAACTGTGTGAAAATGGAATAAAAGAAAAGTATTTGCACAAATTATCTCTAGGGTAGGAACTGAGGGACAGAAACTGAAAATCAGAGTAGCCAGAGTGACTTTTCACTGTACACCTATTGACTGCTTTTGACTTTTGAAGCTTGGGACTGTGTTATATATTCAAACATTGAACATTTTTTAAGTCACAAAAGCAATAAGCAAGAACTATCGGAAAGTCCTAAGCAGATAATTTTTCAAGGGTGGCTACTTAGCATTCGGTGTTCAAGGATGACCTCTCTAAGGGGCCAGTGGTGCAATTGATAACGCGTCTGACTACGGATCGGAAGGATAACCTCTCTGAGGAAGCAGATGTAAGTTAAGCTCTGAGTGATTTTAAAAAAAAAAGAAGGCTATACCACAATCCTGGTGAAAAGCAATCGAAGCAAAAGGAATCCAAAGATCTTAAGGTAGGAAAGCGCTTGAGTAAGGATTTGGGGCTTTAAGTACAATTGGGAAGCCAGTGGAAGGTTTCAAGAAAGGGAGTAACTGGATTTAATTTACCTTTATAAAAGATTGTTCTGGCATCTGAGTAGAGGATGGGTTTATAGAGGGCAAGGAGAAGAGGTGAAGAGACCTTTAAGGAGGGTGTTAGAATATCCCATGAGAGGTGATGGTAGCTGAAACAAGGATTATAGCACAGGATACAGTATGAAGAGGTTCAGCTGGGGACAATTTTCAAAGTGGAGCTGATAGGAATCACTGGTGTGTACAAAATAGAGTTAATAAAAAGAGGAATCAAGGATGACTGCTAAATTTTTTTAAAGATATTAAATAGTAATATCAAATTAGATTTAGAAAGGCAGGGGAGAAACAACTTTTAGAGGGGAATTAGAGATGGCTATGAGATATCCTAGAGAGATGTCAAGAAGGTATCTGCAGGCACAAACTTAGATAGAGTTCAGAGAAGAGATCAAGAAAGGCTGGAAGCTGGATTTGTGACCCATTGACATGAAGTCATAGGATTGAATAAGCTCACCACCTATGGATAGTGTGTGAATAAGGAAAAGAAGGGGATCAGCACTGATCCCTGGGCACTTCTCCTGTTTTTTGGAAACGGCTGTATTGATTCACACATCACAAATTTTTTAAAGTATACAATTCAGTGGGTTTTAGTACATTCACCGGAGAAGGCGATGGCACCCCACTCAAGTATTCTTCTCTGGACAATCCCATGGACGGAGGAGCCTGGTAGGCTGCAGTCCATGGGGTCGCTACAAGCCGGACACGACTGAGCGACTTCGCTTTCACTTTTCACTTTCATGCTTTGGAGAAGGATATGGCAACCCACTCCAGTGTTCTTGCCTGGAGAATCCCAGGAACGGCGGAGCCTGGTGGGCTGCTGTCTGTGGGGTTGCACAGAGTCGGACACGACTGAAGCGACTTAGCAGCAGCAGCAGCATATTCATGGATTTAAGCAACCATCACCACAATCTAATTTTATAACATTTTTGCTTCCCCTAAAAGAAACCTCCATCACTATTAGCGTTCACTCCCCATTTCCCTGTCTCCATCCTTAACACCCGCTCTGTGCAGTGCTTAGTCGTTCAGTAGTGTCTGACGCTTTGCGACCCCATGGTCTGTAGCCCGCCAGGCTCCTCTGTCCAGAGGGATTCTCCAGGCAAGAATACTGGAGTGCGTTGCATGCCCTCCTCCAGGAGATCTTCCCAACCTCGGGACTGAACCCAGGTCTCCCACATTGCAGGCGGATTCTTTACCATCTGAGCCACCAGGGAAGCCCCAATGTCCACACTAGGCAGGCAGCCACTAATCTACTTTTTGTGTGAGTTGCCTGTTCTGAATGTTTCATATAAATGGAATCATACACTATATGGCCTTTTGTGACTGGCTGCTTTCACTTAGCATGTTTTCAAGATTCATCCATACTATTATCATAACTTCAATCATTTTTAAGCCTGAATTAGTGTATTATATGAAAATACCATATTTTGTTTTATCTATTCATCAGTTGGTAGACCTTTAAGTTATTTTTACTTTTGGTTTTTATAAGTAATGCTGCTATGAACATTTGTGTATGAGTTTTTCTGTGAATGTAGATTTTCATTTCTCTTGCGTAATATTATGGACTGAAAGGTTGTGCCCCCCCCCCCCAAATTTATATGTTTAAGCCTCAACCTTTAGTATTTCTGTATTTAGAGATAGGATCTTCATGTGAGTAATTAAGGCTAAATGAGGTCGTAAGGGTGAGGATCTGATCCAATTGAATTAATTTTCTTCTAAGAAGAGACTCGAGAGAGCCCTGTTCTGTCTTTACACCATGCGAGGACCCACCAAGAAGGCAGCCACCGCAAACCAGGAAGAGAGCTGTCACCAGGAGCCAGACCACCTGGTGTTCCCATCTCTCTCAGAGTCATCTGCAGTTTGTTATGATCCACAGTCAAAGGCTGCAGCAGAGTCAATGAAACAGAAGTAGATGTTTTTCTGGAATTTCAGATTCCAGAGGGGAAAAAAAATATGCTGTGAAAAAAATATATATATATATCTGTTGTAAAATCCACTCAATCTGTGTATTTTATTACAGCAACCCAAGCCAACTAAGAAAGTTAAATACTCAGCTGAGTTGTATGGTACATTTGTTCCATAGGACTGGAAGAGGTCAATCCTCATTCCAATTCCCAAGAAGGACAGTATGAAAGAACGTTCAGACCTCTGGACAATTGCACTCATCTCCCACGCTAGTAAGGTTATGCTCAAAATCCTCCAAGTTATGCTTCAGCATTATATGAACCGACAACTTTCGGATGTTCAGACTGAGTTTAGAAAAGGCAGAGGAACCGGAGATCAAATGGCCAACATTTTCTGGATCATAGAGAAAGCAAGGGAATTCCAGAAAAACATCTACTTCAGTTTCACTGACTGCACTAAAGACTTTGACTTTGTGGATCATAAGAAACTGTGAATAACTCTTATAGAGATGGGAATACCAGACCATCTGAACTGTCTCCTAAGAAATGTGTATGCGGGACAAGAAGCAAGAGTTAGAACCTTGTATGAAACGACTGACTGGTTCAGAATTGAGAAAGGAGTATAACAAGGCTGTTTATTGTTTCCCTGTTTACTTATTAAGAAAACTAGCATCATGTCATCCGCTCCCATCACTTCATGGCAAATAGAAGGAGAAAAGGTGGAAGCAGTGACAGATTTCCTCTTCTTGGGCTCCAAAATCACTGCCAATGGTGACTGCAGCCATGAGATTAGAAGATGATTGCTTTTTGGCAGGAAAGCTATAACAAACCTAGACAGTGTACTAAAAAGCAAAGACATCACTTTGCCAACAAAGGTCCATATAATCAGGGTCTTTCCAGTAGTCATATGCGGATATGAGAGCTGGACAAGAAAGAAGCCAGAGTGCTGAACTGTGGTTCTGGAGAAGCCTCTTGAGAGTTCCTTGGAAAGCAGGGAGACCAAACCAGTCAATCTTGAAGGAAATCAACCCTGCATACTCTTTAGAAGAACTGATGATGAAGCTGAAGCTCCAGTACTTTGGCCACCTGATGTGAACAGTTGATTCATTGGAAAAGACCCTGATGCTGGGAAGGACTGAAGGCAGAAGGAGAAGAGGGCAACAGAGGATGAGTCAGTTGGATGGCATCACCGACTCAATGGACATGAACTTGGGCAAACTCAAGGAGGGTGAGGGACAGGAAAGCCCAGCGTGCTGCAGCCCATGGAATGGTGAAGAGTCAGACACGACTCAGTGACTGAATAGCACAGGTAATTGATTAAATCACACTTAAGTGATTTAATGTGGCAAAACCAACTGTATACTCTTAAGTATATAGTAGCAAACTAATTTTTAAGATTTTTTTTCCTCCCTCTATTTTTTTCTTTTTTTTAGCCATGTTGTATGGTATGTGGGATCTTAGTTCCCTGATCAGGGATCAAACCTGTGGAGCCTTAACCACTGGACCACCATTTTCCTCTATTTTTTCATCTTTAGTTGTAGAAAGGTACTCAAGCCACTTTGTGTTTTCTTGCCTCAGGGAAATATTATGGTGATAAAGCTAAAAGAAGTCTCTTGTAAGACACTTCCCTTTCTGAATTAATTTTTCTACAGCCTGAGCCTGTTAAAGAGATCAGGCTAGGTGTACTGGAGGGAGACACAAAGGAAAGAAGCAGAAACTGTAAGGGCAAACAGAACAGAGGAGAGAGGAGAGATTGCTGGGAAGGGAACAAAAAGCCAGAAGTTCCCATGTAATGGGATGGTATTCAAGTAGTTAAACAATACTTCACAGAAGATGAACTAGACAATAACATTTCCCCTCTCTTCCTGTGACAGGCAGCAGAAAGGTGCCAGGCTTTGAGGGATCATTATGGGCTTCAACAATAAACCAACCAATGGTGTCTATGATGCCTGGAGTTGAGATGCCCTCAGGCACCTCTTAAATCTCCTAGAAGCTGCTCTAACTATGAGAGGTAAGGAGGTGCCAACACTGACCTAGATTAAATTTTCTTCTAGCCCTGCAAAAGGATGTTCCAAAAGAACATTCATCCTTTTCAAGATGCTGGACTGAGTATATGGTTATCTTTTCTCCCTCTTGGGAGAATACCGAAAGGAAAGGAAGAGAATATAAAGACTAAAATATCAAAATACCATTGAGAATGGAAGGACTTTATTAATGGATGAGAAATTAAAAAAAAAAAATCTGAAATACAGAAAGCAGAAAGACTGCTGACTGATGAAAGCTGTGGGGATATGGTCCGAGCTAAGGCTATGTAGAGAAGGGGTTGTGGACCCAGCAGGCTCAGGAGAACCAGAAGTGCTTGGCAGAATAAGGGTCCCTCCCCCCAGTGATGTTCACATCCTCACCCCCAGAACTGATTAATATATTAGATTATATGGCAAAGGAGAAATAAGTTTGGAGAGAAATTATTGTTGGTAAGTGATGATCTCAAAATAGGGAGATTATCCTGAATTATTCAGGTGGACCCATCAGTAACTACAAGCTTCTTCAAAGTGGAAGAAGGAGGAAGAAGAGGAGAATCAGAGAATGAGATCTGAGGTTGGAACCAAAGACAGAGTGGTGTGATAAGAAGGACTGAACCCATCATTTCTAATTTTGAATATGGAAGAAGGGGACTACAAGCCACAGAATGCAGGCAGCTCCTCGAAACTAAAGGCAAGGAAGCAGTTTCTCCCTTGGAGTCTCCAGAAGGGAACATAGCCCTGCTGAGACCTTGAGAAGTGATGGGCTTCTACAGAACTCTGTAATAAATAGATGTAGTTTTTTTTTTTTTTCCAGATTATAGATGTAGTTTTAAGCTACTAAGATTGTGGTAACATGAAACTAACTGGAACAACTCTGTACTTGCTGGAGTAATAAATGTGGACGAAAACAGAAATTAATTGATAGTCTGTAAATTGAAGGGTATATCCCCTTACACTACCTCTTTGTTATACTCCAGTGGGCAAACTACATCATCACTGTCAGATGTTTATCTTTTTAGAGAACTACAAGTTAAGTTTATAGGAAGAATTTGAGTAAATAGGGAAGGTATTGATGCCAAAGAGCTACATTCTTCTGTCCTGGCATTTGGTAGCCTTCCTGGACCATGATGGTTGCTCCCTTCCCACTCACATGACATTGAAACTGAACTAGTCAGCCAGCCAGCTCTGCCTGCATAAGCTGAGTTCCCATTAGTTCATGTTTAGCATTCCTCCTGCCTCATTCTATCTAAAACATAAATGGACAATCAGAAAGGCCTACATATTTATAGAATACCTGCAGTATGACAGAGAAAGACCAAGGTAAAAAAAAAAGAGACTTTTCTGGTGGTTCAGTAGTTAAGAATCTGCCTTGCAATGCAGGGTATGCAGGTTCAATACCTGGGTGGGGAACTAAGATCCCATATGCTGTAGTCTGCAGCCAAAAAAAAACAAGCAAAAACAGAACAAGAATAACACAGAAAAACTTAATTTAGAGGAAACAGGAACAATTAAAGGAGCAGAAAACACCTTAAAACAAAATAAGACAAACCATAATCTGTAAGTAATATCACTGGAGAGATTTGAGAAGATACTGAATTGAATCTATGGCAGAGTCATTGTTTATCTACTGAACAGTCATTACTCATTTCTTCCTTATGAAAAGAGCCCTGATATTTTCCCCATGTTGCATGGCCATGTGTTTCAGGGGGAACAGAATTCTCTTTTCTTTGAGGGGGCTTCCCAGGTAGCACTAGTAGTAAAGGACCCACCTGCCAATGCAGAAGACATAAGAGACACGGGTTCGATCCCTGGGTCGGGAAGATCCCCTGGAGGAGGACATCACAACCCACTCCAGTATTCTTTCCTGGAGAATACCATAGAAGACGAGCCTGGTTGGTTACCTCTATAGTGTTGCAAAGAGTCAGACTTGACTGACGCAGCTTAGCGTGCACACTTGAGGGAGCTTAGTTTTCATCACATAAGTTCTTCAACAGATTGGGTGAGGCTCACCCACATTATGGAGGGCAATCCCCTTGATTCAGAGTGTACTGATTTAACAGTTGATCTGATCTAAGACATACCTTCACAGCAACATGGAGACTGGTGTTAGAAGAAATATCTGGGTACAGTGGCCTAGCCAAGAGGACATATAAAATTAACCTTCACAACTACTTGCTAGGATGAGAAGCTGCACGTTAGGAGGTACCAAAGGAAGGAAGGAAGGAAGAAGGCTGGAGGGAACTTTGCATGGTAAACATCTGCCACTGTGAAGTTCCCAGTGGAAATCTGACTTCCTTGTGATAGAGCTGTGAGGAAGACAGCTATGGAAGAAGATTGTAAAATGTTACAGGAAAAGTACTAGCCTTTTATTTTATTTTTCTTATAAAAATCATTTTCAGGATGTCCTTATGAGCAATTACTTACAGCCTCAACTCCTATGGTGTCCAGTTAGACACTGTGAAATCAAATAAATCTATGGCTATTGAGTGGGTTTAACTGATCTTGATTTTCTCTTAAGTTACCCCACAACTCCAAGGGGCTTCTGTACTAAAGTAGGTGTCATGCATGTAGATAGCCGGCAGGTACGTAAAACATCGCTAATTATTAGGGAAATGGAAATCGAAACTACAGTGAGGTACCTTACTCTGGGCAGAATGGCCATCATTAAAATCTCCAAATAACAGATGCTAGAGAAGCTGTGGAGAAAGGGGAACTCATCTACTCTTGGTGGAATTGTAAATTGGTGTAGCCAATATGCAAAACAGTACAGAGGTTCCTCAAAAACTAAATGTTTGGAATTTCCTGGCATGCAGTGATTAGGACTTGGTACTTCACTGCTGTAGCAGGGTTCAGCCCCTGGTCGGGGAACTAAGATCTCACAAGGCTTGTGGCATGGCCAAAAGAAGAAAGAAAAAAAGCTACATTCACCCAGTGTTCATAACAGCACTGTTTTCAATAGCCAAGACATGGAAGCAACCTAAGTGTGAATCAACAGATGAATGGGTGTAGAAAATGTGGTATATGTACACAATGGAATACTACTCAGTCATAAAAAGAATGGACCATGTATTTACAGCAACGTGGATGAGTCTATAGATTATCATACTAAGTGAAGTAAGTCAGAAAGAGAAAGATAAATTCTGTATGATATCACATATGTGGAATCTAAAATGACACAAATGAACTTGTCTACAGCATAGAAACAGATCCACGGACTGAACAGGCTTGTGGATGCCAAGGAGAAGGGAAGCTGGTAGAGGGCTGGATTGGGAGTTTGGGATTAGCAAATGCAAACTATTATATGTAGAATTGATAAACAACAAAGTCCTACTGTATAGCACAGGGAACTATGTTCAGTTCCTGTGATAAACCATAATGGGGAAGAATACGAAAAAGAATGTATATATGTATGTGTGTGTAGAAGTGAATCACTTTGCCGTACACAGAAATTAACACTGTAAATCAACTTTAGTTCAGTAATTTTTTTTAAAAGTAAAATAGGTATCATGGTCCCAATAAAAAGATCAAGAAAGTAGATGCAGTCACTGAGAGAGTATGTACCATAAGGACAGTTATCAAGGAGGGAGCAGTTAATGGAATGAGGAAATCATGAAGGAAGAAGAGAACAACTAGTTGACATTCTTAATCTGCACTCCATGGTCTTCTCTGGGGCCCATTAACAATCTTCAAAGGATTAATTAACTCCCTAAAACTATATGCAAAATTTACACATATGTGGATAGCTGTTATCAGATTTCCAAAGTGACTTTTCAAGTATTTACAGCAACGTGGATGGGTCTATAGATTATCATACTAAGTGAAGTAAGTCAGAAAGAGAAAGATAAATTCTGTATGATATCACATATGTGGAATCTAAAATGACACAAATGAACTTGTCTACAGCATAGAAACAGATCCACGGACTGAACAGGCTTGTGGATGCCAAGGAGAAGGGAAGCTGGTAGAGGGCTGGATTGGGAGTTTGGGATTAGCAAATGCAAACTATTATATGTAGAATTGATAAACAACAAAGTCCTACTGTATAGCACAGGGAACTATGTTCAGTTCCTGTGATAAACCATAATGGGGAAGAATACGAAAAAGAATGTATATATGTATGTGTGTGTAGAAGTGAATCACTTTGCCGTACACAGAAATTAACACTGTAAATCAACTTTAGTTCAGTAATTTTTTTTAAAAGTAAAATAGGTATCATGGTCCCAATAAAAAGATCAAGAAAGTAGATGCAGTCACTGAGAGAGTATGTACCATAAGGACAGTTATCAAGGAGGGAGCAGTTAATGGAATGAGGAAATCATGAAGGAAGAAGAGAACAACTAGTTGACATTCTTAATCTGCACTCCATGGTCTTCTCTGGGGCCCATTAACAATCTTCAAAGGATTAATTAACTCCCTAAAACTATATGCAAAATTTACACATATGTGGATAGCTGTTATCAGATTTCCAAAGTGACTTTTCACTCACTGTCAACAACAGCAACAACATCAACAAAGAAAAGAAAAAGGAAAAAATAACTACGGGAAAGAAACTGTGGTTTCAAGAAGTGAACCATTATAGTATTGCTATAATGCAGCAGAGATACCCAATAGGATATTAACTGAAAAATGTTCCATCAGTAGGCAATTAGAAGGTCTCTTCTTTGAATGGTCATTGAACTGTGCTCCCTCAACCTCCTTTCCACTGCAGTCTGGCTTCTGAGGCCACTACTCTACCAAAACTGCTCTTGTCAATGACACTGACATTTATTTTGTGAAATCTAGTGAATAGTTCTTTCTTCTCATCTTATATGACTTCTCAGTAGCTGTGACTCCACAGTCTTCCAGCAGTCTGCTTCAACTTTTCTGGCTTAAGCCACCATTTCCTTTTGTGCCCTAGATGAAATGACTACAATAGCCCATAAGTGACTCCCCCTCCCCGTTTTCTTTGGCTATGCAGCTTGCAAGATCTTAGTTCTCCATCATGAGA